CAAATCTGCACTACGATCTCCATGTTCGAACAGTCCATCAAATCAAAATAAATAAAGAACAGTTATAAATAAATTTTGGATTTAACAGAATATAATTTCAGATCAATCGCCCTTAACAATAAACAGTTTCTTGAAATAAAGAAAATAATCTGCGCAAATCTTGGCAGAACAACTTTTGTCCATCTGTGCAGGTTCCGATCTGATTTTCTTTTGGTTCAAGATTCGAACCTGTGGCTCTGATACCACTGAAAGAATGGTAGGATCGATCTAATGGACGCCATAAAGGTTGCGGAGTGGGTAGGCGAATTTAAAAAATTTTCCTACCTTCTTCCAACTGGGAATCATATTCCCTAATTTAAGAATACAATATTCAAGAATCCTACTTGAACCATAATCAAACCAAATCTTAACCAAAAGGGAAGGGAGGAATTATACCTGATCCAGAGAAATAGTATCTCCCAAAGTTGGTGTTCACGCTGAAAGATGACACCAAGATCCGCTCTTGCTGAAGATGACACAACTGTATGTGGAACGGAACCAGCAGAGTGCGTCTTACACACTAAATCCTTCGCAAGAATCCACTGACAAATCTGAGCACTAAATATTTTTAGTCTTTTCTACAAGACTGATTTCTTGATTTCTTTCTTCTTCAAAGATCAAATCTTGTAAGAAAGAATGGCGACGGCTGGAAGAGAACTCCTGAGATGAAGATGGCTGAAATTGCTTCTCTTCTTTCTGGAGTGTGTATGAGATCCAATCTCAATTTGTAGGATGATTTCTTGCACAAAACCCTAAGTTCGAAATTTGATTATGATCTCTTTTAGGGTTTCTCCACTTTTCTTCTTGATTAAGAAACCTCCTAATTAGGAGTTATCCCAATCCAAACCAGTATTTGGATAGGGGATGATCTCAATTCTATCTGCAGATTAAGTTAGCTTACTCATGATCTTATCAGAAGGTTACCAGATTCAAATTTGATTTGAATTTGGTCTCCCAGAGTGGATAAGGTTAAAGGCCCAATCCTTTTGCTAACTTTAATC